AGTTTATATTCTTTACATATTATGTGTAGTTTAATTTACAGTATACTTAATTTATATTTCTATAATTTATATATCTAATATTGTACATTAATATAAATAATTCGCCAGAAATTTATAATTAAGATGAAAAATCTTATATGATAAAGAGAAGAGAAAACAATAAATAGTTTAAAAAATAAATTTATGCAAAATTAATATATTTCCGTAGCACTACAAAAGTTTTACCGACATTAATAGAATCCACAAAATATATTATGAAAGTTTAAAAGTTAGTTTGAATACCATTTTATTATAAAAAAAATAATATATTTTGTGTTAAAGAGAACTTGTGAGAAACTTTACAATATCTAGTATAACTCTAAGTGCAAAGCTAATCAATAAATGAGTAGCGCAGTATAATTATTTACCAAACATAAAAACATTTAATATTGCAAAATAAGCTCGTGCAAAAAAATCGAATATTAAAGAAATATCTGACCTATATTGTGATAAATTATTAGAACTATGCATTAAGTATAAATCATAACTGAATATCCCATCATCAGTAATAAAAAAATTAACAAGATTATAATCCTTTTTTCAAATTTTTCGAATTTTTCGATAAGTTTATGTTGATAATCAAATTAATAATCCTTTCTTAATAAAAAGTATGCCGGAATATCAGTTGCCATTTCATTAACACTCGTAAATAAAATACTAGCTGAAGACTTTGAAGACTTTGCACGTTTCGAACTATTGAATGAGCATCTTTTTTGAGATGACGTTACAATAATACCCACGGTATTTTGTGGATAAGCTTCAACTATTTTTTCAAATTGCTTAATATTACCAACTGTAACTATATCATTGCAATATACCAAGATAAAATCGTTGTTATAAGATCCAACCAAATTTAAATATTCATTGCGACTAGAATAAGATAAAAAAAATAATAATAATAAGTAAATGTCATCATTATCCAATGCATCCTATTCACCACAACTTCCGCGCAAGGCTAGATCGAGCTTTCGGGTAAGACATAACGGAGAAGGACGTTCACAGGCACACCTGTGGCCACGATGCGCTTCCAGTTCTCCGCAGTCCCCCTAGTGGCAGCGTAACTTCAGATACATAGCGACTAGAAATTTACTTAGTGAATTCTCACCTAACTTCTGAAAGTCCAATATTAATGTGACTCAGCACTTTTCGAACAGTATCTACAACAGACGAAGTCATAATAATAATAACAATTAATAAAATGGTTTAATAAGAAAACTATATGTATATATATCATAAAAATTTTGACTTCCTAAAAAAAATTTTCTCACATTTTAGGGATAAATCATTTTTCTTTTCTATAAGACCGAAAAATATTGCAGGATTCATTTTACTAATACTTATTAATTTTATTAATGATTATGTTTAAAAACCTGTATTCATTGCAATAAGCCCATCCCA